GATTTAGAACCCTATTAGGCCTTTTAAGCTTTATATAGTCCTTGTTTAAATATGGGGTGTGTGCTGTTTTGGGCGGGGGTACTATTGCAACCCTTAATATGGGGATCAGATTATGTGGGGATACTGGGGGGGGATCCCATGTGGCATGCTGGGAGTCTGCGGCCTTCTGAGTAGGATTATCAATTATAGATGTTGCGTTTGCGATTATGTACGAATAGCTTCAAAGGTTTGTTGGGATGCTTCAGTCAGGTTCAGGAACAGAAAGCAGGTGTAGTCAAACATATTTTACATGCGAGAATAAGAAGCGACACCCCGCCCCCCCCCCCCCCTCCCCGCTCTGTTCAGGTGGGTCATGGGCCTGGTTTGTGCAACTAGACATCGCAATACGATACATCAATTGCTATGAGCCTGGTGTCTTACTGTATTCTGGCTATTTTTTGGGCTTAGGACGCAGGACCACTCCCTCTCGTTTGTCTTCCCCATTGGAACCGGAGTTCGCACAAAGTCTCACACAAGTTCAGCAGTAAACATGGAAGAGCAGTAGTTGGAGGATTATGCTGGAGCAACAATTTTGCTCAAAAAACGTAGTAGCACAATGATACAGCAGCATGCCTCTTGCCCTAGTGACTACTGTGTCAGCTCCTCAGTGTCGTCCTTTCATGGCAATGCCCGGAAGCTCAATTGTTGATTGGGCACTGGAGATTTCGTATTGTTGTCGCCATGTCGTTAGTTCTGTTTCTATCCCAACTCTCCCTAGCCATTTGTTGGTCCTTCGGAGGCTGTCTGTTGCCCTGGCTGACCTTCATTGAAGACGATTGTTGAGTGGCTGCCTTCTTTCCAAGCTCCAAACTCTTAACCCTAAACCCTAGCACATCCTAAAACCCCTTCTTGTGGACGGGTGGGCCAGGCTGTGGACCTTGACGATCGCACTCCATTAGTCCTCGCCGCTGAAGCCAAGCACGAGGACGTTTGCCGCATTCTTCTCGACTGTGGGGCAGGCACGGGCGATGGGCAGGAAGGCGAACGGGGTTCAATGTTCGGGCAATATAGCCATTACTGAGATGGCGCGTCGCCTCGCTGCAGGTGTTGCTGGCATGTCGGATGAGGACCTTCCACCAACCCTGAACCAGCTCTTCCTTGAGCGGCTACTGATGCCGGCAAAGGAGATGTAGGAGTCGAGAAGCAGCTGTCTGCATGAGAAGCGTCGATGAACGTCGCACTTCTGGCAGATTCAGCAGCGAAAGTCTGCATTCAGCCTGTACAGAAATTGTGCATGTCCATACTGATACAAGCAGAGCAAGGCCTTGACATTGCAGAGCACTGCTTGAATAGTACAGCACGGTGTGTTGCTACTTCCTTGGAGAGGCCTACAAGGGAGTGCGATTGTTGGAAATGGTAATTTGCACCGTATGCTTGCCGCTGCTGTTGGCCTTGCTGCTCCCAAGTGCAGTGACGCATATGATCTTCATCTGCAGGTGCCCTCGACACCCGACAGGTCTGTGGTCACCCCATCATGTGCTTAACAAAGCCTTTGACAGCTGCTGGCTAAAGATTGCCACCGTTCGCATGTCGCGCATCGGTCCCAGGTCGTTGTGCATGAGCAGTTGGAGCTGCCCATGTTGTCAGACGATGGTTGCTGTGATGATGCTTATGAACGAGCTTGGCCGTGCAATTTTCTCTCTGCATGTACGATACAGATGGCTGTATGGCAGGCATTTTCCGAATGCAGCAGCTCTTGCGCGGCAGAGCTATTCTCGAAGGACGAGATATACGGATTGATTCCAGGCTGTGGCCCCTAGCTGCAAACGCAAAGAAAGAGAACTGGTAATTGAAAGTGCTGAAAAGTACCTTGTCCCAGTTGTACCCTGCATGCGAAACTGGGGATGCTGTTGGTGTAGGAGCTGTTGTAAGGAGTTCAGCTCAACCATGGGATCTGCAGCCGTGCTGGCTGTAGCGCTGGAAGGCAACATGGATGAGGCCCGGGCGAATGGTATGCCTTTGCGTTGTGGCCTGCTTGTATCAGATCAAATTTTGTACTTGGCTGCACTCAGCAGCTTCAGCAAACGCAGGCTGCCATGGATCGCGGCATGTCATTGCTCTTGTGTTTGCTTACGCTCGATGTTCTATCAAAGCTTGGGCTGAGTGTGACAAGGCCGCCATTGAGGCCGGAGACCTGGCAAGCTGAAGCTGTAGGGCCTATGGTGCCCAGTTTCTTGATGTGGACAGCAATCAGGACAGCAGAGCCACTAATAAGAATCACCAACAAAGGGCAGAGGTGACATATTAGCAACCGTCACTGTAATTGTAGCTTTTGTCAGTGTCGCTGCGGTACCTGTGGCAGTAGCTGTATCAGCTGCAAAGCATTGAGTGGTCGCATAAGCAGTAGCAATTGCAGTGGTGCAGGTGTTGGGTGTCAGCAGCAGCAGTACTGGTGGTGGTAGCGGTGGCAGTGGTGGTGGCGGTAGCGGTGGCGGTGCCGGTGGCAGCAGCAGCAGCAGCAGCAGCAGCAGCAGTCGTCGCAGTCTGCTCTTTCGCTGTGGTCCTCGCCGTCGCCATGGATTTCCCGCTTTGCCTTGTTGACCTGAAGATGATCCTTTTGATGATGCCTGTGAGGTCCTCTCACGGGCAAGTGAGAGTGGTATTGAATTTTTGCAAGTGCAGCTCCCGGAAATGACGGAAGACGCTGAAGACGTTAGCGCCTGGGCCTGAGACCTTGGTGCTTTGTTCAGCTGGCTGCAGCAGTGTGTTGTTGACTTAGTCTCAAGCACTTGGGCCAGATGCTGGCTCAGGCTTCACCCGGTGTTGGCCAGGAGTCGTCGGAGTCATCTCATCAGGCGCTTCCGGTAGGTTTCTGGTGGTCTGGACAATGGTATGTCAGATCAACCCACTGGCTGGGACACACCAACACACATGTGCTTGGAGTAACCCAAGGAAAGCATGTGTTTCCCCTAACAAAGACGTCTGGCAGCGTGAAACAGCAAGGAGATGAGTCGTGACGAAGCCACCAAGGATGCACAGCCTGATGCAGCTCAGGCCGCCCACCAGAGGATGAATTTAGGGTATAGGGTTGAATTAGAATTGGATGGAATTAGCAGCAAGGCTTATCGGCCAGCAGCATCGTCAGGAACGTAGATTGCAAGCATGAAAGTGAATTGCTTACATGTCTCAGAATTGATGATAATCCCAATATAACCCTAGCCCTATATAATCCCTATATATCCCTAAACCCCAAACCCTAAACCCTAAACCCTAATCCCTAAACCCTAAACCCTATATATACCAAAACCGATATATTCCAAGGGGGACAGGCTGTCGAACCGGCGCCCTCCCCGGCGCAATCCCCGGCGCCTTCCGAGGAAGTCGCTGCTCAGGACCTCCCACAGCACAGAAGCCAGGCTAGTAATAGTAGGGCTTAGGGTTTAGGGTTTAGGGTGTAGGGTTTAGGGTTTAGGGTTTAGTGTTTAGGGTTCAGGGTTTAGATCTTAGGGTTTAGGGTAATAATAATACTGTGGATGGAGGAAATCTTGCACCACCTGCATAATAAGCATTTTCAATGACGTGACGACACATCCCCGCACCCCCTGTTTAACATTGACAACTGTTCTGTCTGAGGCGGTGCAAGATT